TTTTTTTTTTTAATCAAAAAAGTTATTGTACTAGTAAAAATTGGTATGCTAAAGAAAAGTTGCAAGCTATTTAACTAGAAAAAAATTACTATTTTCCTATTTTTAGCAAAAAAATTTTAAAGAATTAAAAAAGAAAGGAACAAAATTACGAAAATATTTCTCAGGAAATTTTAATAATAATAAAAAAATTCGAAAAAAATTTAAAAGTTCTTAAAAATCTTAAAAATTATTCATCCGGTAAAGTTTATACTAAAAATATTGGAAATAAAAATGAATGCTATTGAAAATTTATAAAAACAAAAAAAAAAAAAAGAAAAGAAAAAAAAAAATGGATTTATTTTTGCGCCTATTACAAAAGATTGCCGTTGGATAGCATTCTGTTAACTTCAATTTGTCAAAAAATATGCAATGCTATCTTTTGCAGTTTTCCTAAAACAAAAACGATGTATCAAATAATTTTGTAAAATTTGAATTTATTTTAAAAAACGAAAATTTGTAAAAATTCTACAATCGTATTTAGAAGAAAAAAAAAAAAAACTATGCATGTTTGATAAGTATTACGAATCCTTAATAATGAACATTGCTTTTTTTTTTTCCTTATTACTAACAATTAGCAATAATTAATAAATAAATACAATAAACAAATTGTAGAATACAAATTGATGACGTTTCTGTCACAAATAATTCTCTTTTTTGAAAATAATTCTCTTTTTTCCTACTTAACAATTATAAATATTTGAACAAATATTAAATCGAATTGAAATTTGAATAATATTTTAATGTAATAGTATGAAACAAACTAAAATATGATATCATTTAATCGAAATTAATATGTTCGGAATTGATTACATGGTTGCATGCAAGGAATTTTATTTCAGAAAAAAAAAGATAATAAAAATTCCATTTGATATTTTTAATTTTATTAAATTTCAATTTATTTTTTAATACTTTATCGATAATATTAAACGACGAAAATAATTAAAAAAAAAAATTATTTAAGTCTGGAAAGTGAAAAAATTTGCTGAAACGAAAAAAAAAACAGGAGAGATGTTATGAATGTAGGAAAGGAACAAATTATCGAAAAGATAATACTGTCAATTACATCTGACTATTTTAAAGGTGTAAGAAATTTCTATCTTTTTTTTTTCTAGTTATCTATTAGCAAATATAAAACGACATTACAAGGCTATATATATGCATATATTTATAAAAATGTTTTTAAACTTTTGAAATATAATTTAATTTTATATTTTACTACTTGCTTCTAATACTATGAAAAAAAAACGATTTAAAAGTTTTGAAATTGATATAGTTTGATAAGATTATAAAAGATGGAATTACGGAATGATGAAATACAAGGATTGGTAATAATATTGAAATGAAGAAAAATGAAATGACAAAATTTATAAAATTAGCCAACAAAAAATAAACATAATTTTTGCATGCTAATAATAAACAATAAACGAAGCAATTAAATAAAAGCCAAGTTTTAGATGAAAAAAGAAAATGGAGAAATTGAATTTAACGAAAGTTAAAAGAATGAAATGAATGAGTGCTTGATTAAAACTTAAATTTTTAATTATCGCATAAGCTAGTAGCAGAAATTTCATCTACACCTATATTAAAATTGATTGAATTTTTTTAGAAGTAAACGGAAAATTTAAATCTTTGTATGAAAAGATCATTTGTCATAGTGAGTGATGAAAAAGAGTAGAAAATGAAATTAGAAATTTGAATTTAGTGAAATCCAACAAAAAAAACATAGGAAGCATGTTAACACATTGCAAAATATTTTACTTTGAAAAATTGTAAAAAGATGAATTTGATTAAATTTGTTTTAAAAAGTAATTAAACATAGCAAAGCAATTCGAATTAACTCAACCGAATATTTTGCATATTTTCGAAAATTTTAATTTATTAAAATCCTTTCCAATTCTTTCCTTTTCAATTCATATGATCAGGAAAATTAACAAATATTTGCAGCATTTCGTGTGTATTTATCATCTTTATTATTTAATTTAATTCCAAATTGGGTACGATATTTCAATTTTGATCGAAAAAAAAATGGAAAATGTAAAATTAGCACCAGTGAAAGTAAAAATGAAAAATTAAATGTTACCTCGTTTTTGTCAAAAAAATTGATCGTTTGTTGATTTTGAAAACTTTTATCGCTTATTACTAATTCGAAATTACGAATCACTTTTGCCTGAAACAATTAAAAATTCACGTATTTAAATTTTATCATTTGTCTTATTTTTTTTTTAGCATTTGAGGTTTATCATCATACCGCAACACTTAAAAATGGATATATCGAAATTAATTACAGAAAATAAAATTGGAATATTGTATTCGTGCATTTTTTTATTTATAAAATATGGATGTAACAGGTGTTGCAATTGTTATAACACGGATATATAATGTAAGAATTTATATTTGATAATATATATAATAATTTTCGATTAATTAGTATAACATATGTTCCGATTCTAATAAAACTATTTAATCAAACATGGTTATAAAGCAAATTTTAGAATTAAATCTCTCATAATGTTAATCATTAAAATTTTCGTTATCTCTTCATATTTAATTCATGTAAACATTTTCTGATTTATATCATATTACCGGAACAGGTATCAATCACTTATTGCATTACCGTATCGGCTAACATCAGTTTTAATTGTAGAAAATAAAGTTAAAGTATGAATAAATTCAAAAATATAATTTTCAAATATATTTCCTAATAATATAAACATTAATATGAATACAAGCAATGATTACAATATCCGTAATAGGCAATGATTACAATATCCGTAATTCTAATAAATTACAGACAGTATGGGAATATCCCAGAAATTTTCATCTCAGGAATATTATAGCATATTGGTAAAATAGTGTGTGGAAATTTCGACAACCGGATGATACCGGAATGGAATCGGTTTATTAGCCGATATAAAAAGTCTTTTTTTTTAATTTATGAATGTGAATGAATTCACATTATTAGCATTGTCAATTGGACTGATTCGGGTAAAAGTCTTACTAATTCTAACCGATCAAAGTTCAATGTATCAAAGTTACTTAGCATATTTTTTTTTTATCTCAAATAAATTTTCAGTTATGAAAAATGTAATAGAAATAATAAAAAGAATTGTTTGGTGGTTTTTTTTTTCACATTTAGGAGAGATGGAAAATGCTCAAGGAATTGAGAAGTTAAATCAATGAATATATGAGTATTTAAGTAATCAGGTTTTAAAACAGATCAATTTCTAACTTGAATATAAATGAAAAAAATTTTTTTCTTCAATCATATATTTTGGCAATATTTCTTCAAATATCGAGTAATTCATATACTGATAAATTCATTTCTAAAAATCTACAAATCGAAATAAAAAAAAAAAACCAAGCAAATAATCTCTTTTATTGACTATAGTTATTCGATACTAATATAATCATGTAGAAGAAATTTTATGTTAATTAAAAAAAAAATGAATCGAAAAATTTTCTTTAAGCAATTTATTTACAATAAAAATTATGTAAACAAGTAAACAAGTAAACAAATCAAATATTATTTGTTCACATATTTCAGTTAAAATGCGATATATATCTCAAAAAAAAAAAAGGATTTTTTTTTCTGGCAAAATTGTAGTTTGAACGATTGGTAACATAACTTTTTAAGTGAACCCATTCGAACAGCTGAATGGACATTAATCAAATGACCCTGAGAAAAAGCATTGAATGGGATGACAAAGAAACAAATTCATCAATCAAAATCATTGTTTATAAATTATGCATCCTTTTGGAAGAACTTATCTTTTACTAGTTAAATTAAAAAAAAAAGAAAAGATAGAACAACAACAACATTTAAAAAAAAAATTTAAACAAACTGTTAGCATTTTATAATATTTTGTAAATATGTAAATAATTAAACAAATTAATATTATTTATTCATTTATTTAAATAAAATGCCTTATATACTATTTCACATTTTTTTTTCAAAGATTTTTTAACTTATTTGATTAAAAATATTTTAGGCATTGTAAATTATTCGATTATAAAATTATAATTATAATCTATCAAGTGCTATTTAATTATATCGAAAAGTTATTAATATTTTTTCTCTTTTTTGATAAAATTTTTTTTTAAATTTAAGTAATAATTATTGTTTTTGGTAAACTATTTTAGTTGCATAGTTTGAGTAAGGAGAAAAAAAAGTTTTTAATATTTAAAGAATATTTAATATTTATTTTAAATATTTATTTCAATTTTTTTTAATATTTAAAGAAAAATTTTTTATGCAATACATTAACTTTAATTAATTTTAAAAATAATACAAATGTAATAAGTTTGAAACAGCAATGAAGCTTCCTTAATTACAAAGGAAATGCTAATGTTATTGTTAATGAATTAAGAATTAAGTATTAAATGTATTTCAATGTATTATTCTATAAGAGAAATATACAAAAATAAATTTTAATAAATGAAAGGATGAAGATAAATAACGCATTGGGAAAACAATAATTAATTGTAATTATTCTTATATTAGAAGGCAGTTGTTCAATGCTTTCATCGTAATCATATTTTAGCCCATTATATACAATTGAAAGGTTAAAGGTCATCGCTGTTATTTGTTATACAATTATTTACAAAGCAAATGCTTTATATGCTATATAAGAAGGAAGAGACAACAATAAAATAGGGATTATATTGATTATAATCTCACAATTTCAATAATTGTTATTGTTTTGAATGAATGATAATAAAATGAGGAAGGATAAATAATTTCGTTTTATACGGTAAATAACAGAATATAATTGTTATTTTGTTAAATTCCAAAATATGTTAACAATAAAAAGAAAAAATGTAAACATTAAGATTATTGATAGAGCAAAATGAAATGGAAAGGAAGGAAATAAATTGTTTATGCTAATTAGGGTAATTAGAGGTGGATTAATTTTTCGATATGAAAATGAATGAGGTTTATTAATGAAGATTCTTATCTATATCTCATAGGATTTATGATATAAATATTATTCGCTCTATTTTATTCTTTTATTACTTTTTAAATTGTTCAATCTTTATAATCTATAAGATATGGGATAAAATTTAAAAAAATTTTTGAATTTACAATTGAATTCATTTAATTTGAAATTTGAAATTTAAAATAAAAATGTGTTGTCAATAATAGCTTATGAAAAGTTTGCATTTTGTTTACTAATGCAAATAATAGTTCAGATAGATTGAAAAATAAATAAACATCCTGACAATGTTTTCATTTTTCACAAATAACAAATTATAAAATTATTTGGAAAAATCGAAATTGAAAATATTTCAATCATTTGGTATTACTATTACTTTTATTTAGTATTACTCTTATTATTCACTATATCCGAAATAAATGATAGTGATAATTAGCAAGATGATGAAATTTACAGAAACAATAAGCAATAAATTTTTTTTAAAGATTAAATCAAAATTCGAACTTTAAGTTTAGTTTTATAATTAATTTCCAACAAAATTGTGATCATAAAATGAAAATAAATGCATAGAAAGACATTTGTAATGCGAATTATTGTACAAATAATAGGAACTAAAAATGAGTTATTTGAATTCTTGACCTTAATTATTTGTATTATATTGTAGTGATGTTTTACCACAAGAACTTCAAGTATATTTAAATTCCTTTAAAAGAGTTTTTTTTTTTAAAATTATTCTGAAATTTGGATAAAGCAATGGAAAAGAATTCTATATGGTAGGAAGAAAGAAGAAGGAAAATTATTTTGATGAATCAATTTTTGGAAAAGTTTCGGAGAAATTTGAAATTTTTTGAGAAATTTAATAAAACTTAAAATCTATCGAAACAGTTACATATAAAACAAACATAATGACCAAAATATTTTAAAACTTATTGAACAAACAATACATTTGTAGTTTCTGATAGATTGGATATCATGTAAATCATTAAGAGATTTTTCTTATCAATTATTGTTACTTAATATTCAAATTGATATCAAACAACTGAAAATGAATAACTAATTTAAATTACACTAATTATTAAGGCGAGGAAAAATATAATTAGCATTAAAGAATATATTGGATTTTATTTGAAGAAATAAATGAAACAAAATTATATGCCAAATCAATTAAAGCTATCATTTGTGTCGAAGAAAATTAGGTTTTAATTTGAAAAAAAAATGTCATTATCAATTTAAATCAATTGTAAGTAAACAAAACATTAATGAAACAAATGAAAAATTAAAAATGTGAAATAAGAATTTTTAAGGTTTTTAACAAAATTTAAAAATTTTTGAAAAAGTTAATAAAGTTTGAAATCTTTCAAAAAAATTTAAAAACTTTCGAAAAAAATTTAATGAATTTGAGATTTTTCAAAAAAAATTGAAATATTTGGAGGCAATGAGATATATGAAAGAATTTGCAATGTTATATTTGATACATTCAACGGATGATTACAAAAAAGCAAAAAGAAAAGATAAAAGAAGTGAAAAAAGATAAGAATAATTTTGATTGACTTAACTTTTTGATTGGCATAGTTATGTTGATTTCAAGAAAAATAAAGAAATTTAGCAATTATGATATTTTTGATGATGATAATAATAACAATGATGTTTACAATGATGATGATGTTGATGATAATGATAATGATAATAGTGTTGGTGTTGCTGGATTAATGGGATGAAGTTAAAAAAAAAAAAGGACCAGGATAAAAAACGGCAAATCCCGAAGGCCAGGCCAAAAGATGAAGTAGTGAAGGAAAGAAGAAAGATGATTGATAATAGAGATAAAGGGTGAGAAGAATGAAGTTCTTAGAAGGAAAATGATAAATATAGCAATAATATTTACATTCAATAATAAATTGGCATAGTTTATAAGATGTTATCAGTACTGAATAATAATTGTTATCATTATTTTAACTGTAATAATATTTATTGTTAATAAATACTGTAATTTCATTGCTAATACTACTGTAATATTTATTGTTTAAAAAAAAATTTGCTCTCACTTATTTTTCATGTTTTTCAAACTTTTTTTTTGCTAAATATTTTTCATTATTTCTAAAAAAAAAAGCGCATCAATTATCATTTAATAACAAAAAAAAAGTTATAATTGATAAATGATGATATTTGTATGTTACATAATAAAATATGATTAATAAAAACTAAAAAATAAAATTTTTTTTTCGGAAAACTTTGGGACTTTTTTCAAAACAATTCTAGTATTTTATTTTCAAAAATTTTCATAATTGAAAAAAAATTATGTATGCAAAAAAAATTTGCATAAATAGGAAATGTAAATTATTGTAATTCCATCAAACAACAACAAAATTATCTTTTATCAAAAAAAGAGAGAAATTTTATAACCAAATTGAAACTGTTAAATGTTTTAAACTTGTTCCAATAGCTTTTTAGCATTGAAACTGTTAAATGTTTTAAACTTATTCTAATAGCTTTTCAGCTTTTTCCTTTCCGTAAATGAGTAAATAAATTAGCTCAAAAGTTAGGAAAAACAATAATTTCACTACTGATAAAGAAAAATGTTATCAACAATTGAAATTAACATTAGTGATATTACAATCATTACTTATGAATATTTCAATAATGTTGGATGAGAAAATATTTTAGATAATACCATAATGATTCTCAAAGAAATAATTCAAAAATTTCATTTGTATTTTAGTCAAAAATTCTATAAATGAGCCAAATAATTTATGGCTATTTCATTTATATTTTAGTCAAAAATTCTAGAAATGAGCCAAGTAATTTATGGCTACTAATAATGAATCATTTAAGCTTTTTATTCTTCAATTTTAATTTGATTTTAAATGATGACGTGGAAATAACATAAATTTTACAAATCATGCATAAATATCAAAGTGTTTCGCAAAAACAAAAAAAAAAACAAAAATGGATTTATTTGTTTGAAAATTCAATTTGAATAATTTAAAAAACAATTAAAGATTATTGAATAATAAATTAATTTGTTATCATAACTACATTGATTTTAATACAAATTTTACTATCACTGATAAATTTGATCAGACCCTAAATTTAAGCCTAAGCTTATGGTTGAAAAAATTGATTGGAATAGTCGTTGATAAGAGCCACATGCACATATGTATATATGAGTAGTCGCTTTATTTATATTCAAAGAACATTAACAAAGAAAAAAAAAACTTAGGAGGACCTTTTTGCTAGGCTGCTTTTCTAGCCTAGCAGGATATTGAGTAAAAGAAATTTTGTATGACTTTGAAATAGGACATGCTTAGTTAAACAACAATTGTTACGAATATTTTTCATTTTTTAGCACTTTTTCAATCTCTTTATAGCAAAAATTGTTCAAAAAAGGAAGAAAAAAATTTTTGAACAAATATTTGGCCAAAAGATTTTTGACAAAGTTTAAGTAAAAATGAATTTGTCATTGTTTTGATCAAAAATTTCTTGTACATATATTAAAATGGTATCAATGCATTTCAATATGTTTCATCAATGTATTTCCCAATTGTAGTATTTCATCGATTCAAAAATTGAATTTAAATTTAATATTTGTAACAAACGATACCTTATTACTAATACAATACACTAATACAGTCTTAATACAGTCAATACACTAATACAGTCTTAAATTATTGTAATATGATCGTATTATACAATTTAATATTTCGCTCTTTTTCATTTTTAATTTAAATACTTAATAGATATTTCGATCAAAAATATTACTGCATTTTAATCAACAATTATTAATAAATTTCAAATATGAAATAAATGAAAATTCAAAACAAACCAAACGATGCTAATGTTCCATTCGTAGTTTGTAATTCAATATCGATTAATTAACAGGTTAATTATTATTGATTTATAGCATTAATGATGTGTAAGGCCAAAATATCACGACTGAAAAATAATTATCTGCAAGTAATTGAAAAGGAAATTAACAAATATTATGGCGAAATTTTTTAGAAATAACATAGTTGATAACGAGATAGTATAACTGAAATTATAATCAGTAAATAGGTACACAATTTCCTATTTGATTATAATGCCCGATATTGAAAGAAACCTATTACAATGGACAGGCATAAAATTATTTGATAGAAGGAAGAAATCGATGTATTTTAAAGATGAATAACAAATTGCTTCCTATATTAATTAGTGGAAAAAAATTATTTTTCCAGATATTTTTTTAAATCATTTCAAAAAAAGTAAAATAAAGAATAAAATTTGGTAATATTTATATTTAAAAATAAGAAATGAGAAAGAAATTTCATAAAAAAAAGGGAAAAGAAAAAAAAGAACTAAATAAAATAAAAAAAAAACAAAAAACCAATAGTAAGAAGGCGGGATGAAAAATAAATAGATTCACTTAAGGAAGGTATATAACTATACACTAACAATTGTCCTAAAGCCTTTATATATGTATGTATATGTCTCAACTAGGCTTCTTCATCTTCTAATCATAAAAAAAGAAACGGGAAAAAAAGTCCTTTTGGCCAATAGATTCTTTTGGCTCAAATCTTGCTTCATTGTTATTTGATAATGGTGATGGTTGTGGTAGTGCTATTAGTGGTGATAGTGGTTGTGTTGGTTCTCAGTAATGTTAAATCGGGACGAAGATGTTTAAAGTATGTATTTCTTCGTTTTTCTTTTTGGCTATTCTTTTCCAAACTTTCATCTTTTCCCGTATTGGCTAAGAATGCACCGAAAAAAAAATCGATACATTTAGAAAGTATCTTTTGCAGTAAAAAAAAAAAAAAGAAAAGAAAGTAAAATAAAAAATTAAATTGAAAAAAGTTGAAAAATAAAATGGAAAAGTAATTGAATATAAAATCCAATTTAAAATTTATTAATTCTTAAAGAAAAAGTTTAATCAATTATTTTTACAATTTCTTTTTATATTTTTTTCTCATGCTATATTTTAATAAATATATCCAATAAAAAAAAAAAAGAAAATGAGAATATTATTTGAATGTTAATCATAAAAATGAAATTTTTTTAAAAGTGATTAAAAAACAAAAATTTTAATTTTACAAATTGATTTGTTAACTAATTTCAAATCATGTAATTCAGTTCATTCTTCTCATCAACTAACTTTTTTGGTTTCTTTTCAAATTTGCCCATATTAAAATAAAAAAGAAAAATAAATTTTACACCATATGTTTACTAAGTTCATTTAAGATGAATAAAACTTTTAGCTTTTATATTTTCATCATATCATTACAGTAAGATATTAAATTAGTTGATTTAAAATTCGTGCCTTTTTTTTTAAATTTAAACATTTAAAGGTGTCCCGTGTGTTTATTTCAGATATTTTATTACTAATTAGTTTTGCTTATCATTTCAGATTTTTAACGATAAAGGAAAAGATTTAGTTCTTTAATATAATATCAATGCAAATATATTTTGGATTAATTCTAATCATTGATGGAAAAGAAAAAAATAGGACGAAAGAAAAAACGAAAAATATAAATAAATTTGATGAAAAATTTTTAAAATTTTTATTTAAATTTCTTCAATCGAATTTTTCATCCATCGAATCCATTTCATCTATTACACGGTTTTCGATAAGAAAAAAAAGAAAACTTTGAAAATAAAACAAAAATTCAATCGAATAATCTAATAATAAATATTTTTATATTCCATTATTTCATTCCTTATAGACAAACATTATACATAAATTGTATAATATTTATCCTAAATTAGACATTTTAACTAAATTTTCTAATTTAAAATTTAAGTGTATTTGATAATTGATTCTTATTCCAGTGGCAAACATGGATAGAATTTGAAAAATTGGACTTTTTTAGTCATCGATTTCTTCTCTTCAGAGACGGATCCATCAAAATTTTGTTTTTAATTTTTGTTTTTGTTTTTCCATCAAAATTTGTTTATCTATTTTTTTTGTTCCTTTTTTCCATTTTAATATTTCATAAATCCATCTCAAATAATTAATTATTACTCCACCCTTAACTTTATCAACAATAATTACTTATTTAACTTTCACAGGAATGCTTGTTAAATAGAATTTCGCAGTTTTATTTAATAGAAATTTCAATCAAAGCAAATTTGTCAGTAATTCGTTATAACTTTTAAAGGTTTTTCTAAATTAGCATGAACGAAAATTAATTTTTTAATTTCCAATTATTACTTTTCAATCATATTTGTTAAACATAATTGAAAAAAAGTATATATACTTTAAAAAAAAATCACTTCAAATTATTTAATTAGGAAAAAATTCAATTTTTCAGGATAATATTTTTTGCAATGCTTGCTATAAATGCATCAAAAGAAAAGAACGATTACAAAAAAGGAAAAAAAAGAACTGTCGCAATAAATGACATTGATGAAAATATTGTAATAATAAATGAATTGAAATTAATATTCAAAACTTAAATTTGTTAATCTCTTCGATCATTGACCCATAAAACATTCAAATATTATCGATTTTCTCAATAGTTTACCATTTATTCTTATTGCTATTATTACAGATTGAAATGAGGAATTGTAAATTTGAAATACTTTTTCTTTTTTGTATAAAATTCATTGTAAATGATTTTTTTCATCAAAATTTGTTAATTATTTTATAATAATTAATTAAATAATCAGAAATACTAACATGAAAAAAGAATGGAAATGAAATGAAAATTGATAAGAAAAGGAAGAAATAATAAGTAAAATAAAATATTGATTATAAGAAAGTAAAAATGATAAGATAATATTGAAAAGAAGAAATGAATATTCGAAGGAAAACAAAAAAAAACGAAAAAAGACGGTAAAGAAAGGAAATTTAAAAGGGGGAAAAAAATTTGATCATTTTTGCAATCAACACTGGACCAAGAAAAAAAAAGAGAATGGAAGAGTAAAGGACACAAAAGGAGTGAGAGGAAGCCAAGTAAGCCTGATGTGTTGACTTTTCATAGAAATGTTAGGCAACATTTAGATGGCAGACCTAAGCTCTTAATGAAATGTATTAGGTTAGAAAAAGAATAGCTTTTTTTTTTTGCATTCTGAAAATTAGCCTAAAATTTGTTCATTCAGTAGATTGTCTAACATTATGCATCAATTTTAAGCTTTTGTTTACCATTCATTTATAGTAAATTGCTAAATGTAAAGTAAAAGAATTAATATGAAATTAAAATAAATTTAAAAAAACATTGAAATAATAAATAGTAATTAATATTTTTCGTTCTTATGTGTGTCTGTGTTGTTTTTCTTTTTTTTTTTTCAAAAAATTCATATCGAATTGAAAAATGATTACCAATTTGAAATAATTAATAAGAATGAAGAGAGCCAACAAACTTTCTTTATTGTGCACAGTAAATTACTCAATGAAAGAGAAGAAGAAATTTAATGCGAACTTAAGTAATTGAAAATTAAAAATATTACTTAAAATATCATTGTTTCAAAAAAAAAACAGAATTATTATAAAAGGTTCATATCAGTAAATAATTATTAAAAGGGACAAATAAAAGTAACAATAAAATGTCATTCCTTTCCTTTTCGTTTTTTTCGGAAACTTCAAAAATTCATTATTATGTCAAATTTCTTTAAAGAAAAAACAAACTTTCATGTTAGATTATTGCATTTGTAAGAAAGGATTAGATGAAGTGATTGATCATATCATATCATATCATATCATATCATATCATATCATATCATATCATATCATATCATATCATATCATGACATATCATGCCATATCTAATGATTAACAAAACTAAACAGTAAAAAGAATTTAACGAAAACTGTTCAAATTTTCATAATTTTAACAAAAAACGTAATTGTTTTATAATTTTTTTTCGGAAAAAAAAGAGGAGGAAAATATTCGTAATCGCAATTTACGACATTTACGATAGGACAGAGATCGCATGCAATTCGTCGCAAGATGATCTAATCATTCTTTACGGGTAAAATTTTATTTTTATAACTAAAATTGCACAATCGATTTGTTTCTTTGCTTTTTGTTTTTTGTTTTCATAGATTTCAAAACTTATATCAAAAAAAAAAAAAAACTTATATCAAAAACTTATATCAAAAAAAAATTTTTTTTTTTTAAAAACTTATATACAAAAAAATTTTTTTTTTTTTTAAAAAAACTTTTTAAAAACTTATATCAAAAAAAAAAATAAATTGGTGATAACGTCTAATGAATGCGTCAAATTTGACGTATTTAATTGCATATCCTGTATATTTTAGGTATGATTGAAGCAAAGAAGTGAATGATTGTATCATCGTATCTTATCAGTGATAATGAAATGATCAGTGCAAATGTACATGTGAAATGGATTTATATGTTTTAAAAGAAGAAAACAAAAAGAAATGAAATTTTTTATCAATTAATGTTGTTTTTTTCATTTCCCATTTATTTTTTCATTTAAGCAAATTCATTTGTTTTAGTAATATTTCACCAAATTTTGTAAAATTTTTTAAAAATTATATTTTTTCAAGATATGAAAGTAATATTTGAACAAATATTTTTAATCAAATATTATAATGTGATACTTTTGATTAATATATTATCAATTATGTTGCTTTTTCATTTGAGTAAATGAAAAAATTATACATACAATAAATATATATGCAGGAATATCAGCAATATTAGGTTTAAATAATATTTGGATATGAATAATGAAGAATCGAATATTTTAGAAATGAATTACTAATAAAAATTGGAGAGAAAATTGTTAACTTTTCTTTTATGGAAGATACGGATACTGTGCAAAAACAAAAATGTTTTTCAGGGTGGATAATGATACTGTATGAAAGCGGACAAAATTTATCGAAAATTTATCGAAGGGACAAAATTTATCGAAGAGGGATACGGATACCGTATGAAAACAAAAACGTTTTTCAGGGAGAATAGCGATACTGTATGAAAGGGAACAAACTTTATTCAAAAAGGTTAAGGAAAAAGTGTGAAAAAAAAAAAATTTTTTTTAGGGGAGATAAGGATACTGTATTTGGACCACAAGTAATATCAGTGTGACAAATAAAGATTTGAAGGGTATTTGACAGCTATTTGAATGTACGGATTTGCAAGTATTTGTCTGAGTATTGAATATAAGTTTGGCATCAATTTGACATATATTGAAATTGCGAAGGAGAAGAGAATGAAAGAAAAAGAAAAAGAATTGCAAAATAAAAAAAAAAAGAAAACAAAAGTGTTGAGAATGAAATGAAATGGATTTAAAAACTTTTTGAAAATTAAAATCATGCAAATACTTGAAAATTAATTATTCATATACAAACTAATTTAAAACTTGTGTCACTTTATGTGACATGCTATTACTAATACAATCTGTTCACCAATAATTTTTTTCATTGAACAAATTATATTTGTGAAATTCTAGTACTGTTCTTTTTCTGAATACTAAAACAAATGTCTAAGAAGGAAAGAAAGAGAGATAGAGAGAGAGAAGGAGGGAGAGAGAATTTGATACTGCAAAAATTTGACACTTCTTTTGACACTTTCTTTGACGAAAAATTTGACACCTTCTCTTACTGCAAAATTTGATATATTAAAATTTAAAAACTTCCTTTTTTTTTTGTTTTCCTCAGAAAGTTAATATTGTTTTTTCTAGCACTTTCTTTTCAATCTCAAATATGTTTCATTACTGCAATAATTATTATTAGTAGTTTTTTTTTTTTTTTTTTTAAAGGAGTAAGTCATATTCCTGAATTATATTTCCGGAGAGGAAATTTGAACTTTAATTTTGCAAAAAATTTTGATATATTAGAATTTTGGAAGGTTCACAGAAGTTTTTATAATTTTTAACTGTAAATATATTTAAGTACCATAGAAATTATTACTATTTCCTACTCAAAAGGTATAATTTAAAAACAAAAAACAAAAAAACTCATACATTTCAATTTTTAATGCTTTAGATTTCATACGATTCATTTCTTCTTACCAATTTCTCAGATTCTTGTAAAATTTAAAGAGAACTTTTCAACGGACAAAAATAAAATCATTCATATATAAATATATATTCTAATTTATCAAAAATTCAATTTCTTAAATGAATAACAAAAATAAACAATACGGTAAAATTACAGATCTTTCATTTTTATTTTTTATTTTTCCCACTTTTTTTTCTTCATAAAATTTCAATTTCCATTTATGCTTTCAAATGTATTCAAATAGTTCATCGAAAATTTATAAATTAATTAAACTGGAAGTGTAATTATATGCAAATAAAGGAAGCAAAAAATTGAAAAATAATTGATTAATTTGATGAATAATTCGGACACATTTAGAACTTAGCATTCATTTATTTAAATATTTCAACAAGTAAAATGTAAAAAATAACTTTTCTTTAACGAAACTTTTTTTTAAATATATTTAATTAATTTCATTTTAATTCAGTAATTTTCTTTCACTATTCATTTTCATTTAGCATTTTTTTCAAGAATTATTTTTGTAATAAACTTAATTTCATTGCTAAAAATTACAGTAAAATTAATGGGTGCAATGCCGGTACGGTAATAAAAATGAAAGAAATGTTGAGATATAATTTTTAGATGCGATTAAGCTGAATAAGACAAAAAAAAAAAATGCTTTATACCATAAAGAGTTGGTATTGGATTGGGAAAAATCGGGAAATAACTGATAAAAGAAAACAGTTTCATTTTTTTTTTTTTTAAAACACGCATGAAATGACTACATAAATTTTATCCGATCAGTTTTAATATATATATCAAATTGTTGAGGATATAATAAAATTTTCAAAATTTCTAAGATCAAAAGAATATACCGACTTTAAGAAGCACCTGGTGAAAGTTGAAAAAAAAAGGAAAAGAATGATGGATAATATTTAATTTTAAATGGATAGATTAAAAAAGAGGCAGCCAAAAATTACAATCATTTGTAATTTCGTTACTTTTCATCATTTTTTTTATTTAATAGCTAAAATAAATCTCTCTCTCCCTCTCTCTCTCTCTCTCTCCTCTCTCTCTTCTCTTCTT